GGGGGGGGGCGCAGCGCCCCCCCCAGCGCACACCAGATCCAAAGGTGAGCAGTGCTTGCTTGCTTGCTTGTTTGCTTGCTTCCTTGTTTGGTTTCGTCTCTGCAAAGCGAACAAAAGGAAAAGCAAACGCAAAAAAGATAAAGGAGAACAGCTGCGAAAAAGAAAGACAGAAAGACAAAGGACCAGAGGACCAAGGGACTAGCGGACCAGTGGACCAGCGGACTGCAGGGGACCAGCGGACCAGGACCAGCGGACCAGAGGACCAGCGGACCAGAGGACCAGGGGACCAGCAGACCAAAGGACCGGCCACCTACACGACTGGGAATTCCAAGGGATTTCATCGCACAACGAATATTTTTTTGGTTGATTCAGTAAATATTCATTTTTTGATTCGGTGAATATTTTTTTTTGATACCTATGCCTTTGGGCGTTGGCCAGAGGTTTGCAGCTCCAGAGAGGCGATGTGTCGACATCGTGTTCAACATGCGCCCCAGGCATCAAGACCCGGGTGACACGGAGGCAACCAACACCTCCACACCATCTGGCAGCTTTGTGCAGCCTTTGACTTGGAGCAAAGATGCCTGTTCTGGTCAGCTTGGAAGCTCAGTTTGAGTGGTTTGTGGAAGGCGCAAAACACCGCTGGCAGCATGTCAAGGGGCCACGTAAGCCTTGTAATCCAAATCATCGACCTTGGCTTGAACGTGGATGGCGAGACCTAGACGCGCACAGCTCTCCAGATCCAGTTGTCCAAACTTGTGATGTCATCGAGCGCCCCTTTTTTGTTAAGGACACTTTCACAAGACGCTGCAAAGTTGATAGCAATGGCCTCCAACCTACCAGTGATGGCCTCCAACCTAGAAGCGATGGCCTCCAACCTAGAAGCGATGGCCTCCAACCTAATAGGGATGGCCTCCAACCGAATAGCGATGCCCTCCAACCTAGAAGCGACGGCCTCAACCTAATAGCAATGGCCTCCAACCTAATAGCGATGGCCTCCAACCTAAGAGCGATGGCCACCAACCTAATAGCGAGGGTCTCCAACCTAATGGCGATGGCCTCCAAACTAATAGATCCTAATTGCCTCCAACCTAATAGCGATTAATGCCACTAGCTTCGAAGTAACTTGCAAGGTTTGTTGAATTCCAGTGATTGCATGAGGACTGTAAGATTCATGACCATCTTGGAGTATGAGGAAATATGTAAAATATAAGTATTTCACAAGCCTCTGTGAAAAAGAGTTTGTACAGTTTGCTATAGTTTTCTGCTTCATAAGCAGCAAACAGTAGCACTTGAATTCAGGAATTCTGTAGCCATGGCCTTGGAGGTCTTTGATCCGGTCATGAATAGTTCTTGCACCGAACAAACACGGGGTCCAAGAACTCACAAGTGCCTAGGCCAGTAGTAGGAACCAATACTCTGAGCCTGGAGGAGTTCGAAATGGTCCGCAAGGGAGTCTTCGACCTCAACAAGACACGGCCAGAGTGGGATGCAAAGGAGTGATGGTCAGAATTGTTTTTATACACGGCATGCAACGTCCACTTGCAGCGAATTTAGTGTCCCCCAACTTGGTTTTACTTATTGAATGCTTCCACACAATAAAGGGACCTCTATGACTGAATTTACCTCACATGGATGCACCTGGCCAGAATATTAGAGCATATGGCATATGAAATCCACTTGAGTCGGGGTGCTGGTGGCTCAAAATGGACCAGGATGCTGCGATGAGATGAGAGCTGCGGAGCAAATGCTGTGACTGCCATAGCTGCTATGGCCTGTGTTGAACTGATGATGTGGTACATATTCACTTGCTGATCTGCGCAAAGGTGAAGAGCAAAAGTGGATCGAAAAGGAGAGGAGGGAACCCCAAACCATCAATGAGAATCAGTTCTCGAAGCCATGATGCAATCCCAATCCGAAATAGGGTGAACTCAGGTAGCCCGGACCTTCTGATAGAAGGGGACCTCATCTCCCTTATCTCCCTTGGCACACCTCAAAGGTCATAGGTAACTGTCGCCTTAGTCAGTAGTCTCATAGGTGTGAAACTCGGGCAGTCCTAAGCTCATGGCGACATACAAGATCTTCAAGTTTGTTCAAATTGCCTTTGGCTGCATTCACTCGGCATGTGCCTTTGTCGGGAAGAGTAACTATTGTGGCACCTTTTGCAAGGGCATAAGAAATCTCGGCATCACCTTTTCGACTCAGAATTTCTAGCTGCTAGGTAGCAGTGCACCAAAAACAACAAGTATACACAATACAAGTACCCAACTTTGCATCCACTGATGGGTGCCCACAAGCAAATCTAACAAGGATTGAAGTGGAACTCGTTCATCCCCTTTCTGTCGCTGACTTTTTTGGTTGAGGAAGTTTGACCAGCTCCAAACCACAGTACAATTCACATTTAACTGTGTTGCCTTGTGCAGTGAGCGTCTCTCCAAAACTCTCTAAGGACCTGGCAAGCCTCAAGTGTGCCACCTTGGCACCAAGGCAAAGCGCTTGCAAACAGAAACATGGGCCTCAGCGACGCAGTTTGCGGAAGGTATGCAAAGAATGAGGGATATGATTCGGATATGATCAACGTCTTAGTTCTATCAACCAATGTCATTGGTGAACTCCAGCGATCTCTTACGGTTTCAGGATCAAGCTCCAGGTCTTGCATCATCAGGTGCTTGCACCATCGGAAGACGTTGGAAATGTGGTTCCAGGCTCCAGTTGCATTCAAACAAAGAGCAACCACATACAAGTAGGGCCTTTCAGGGATTGCTCTAAAACGCATGAGCGTCGACAAGCAATCTGTGCTGGTATGAAAGTCTCCAAAATATCGCTGCCGCGTTTGTGTGGGCATCTCATCAGGCTTTTTGAAAGCGAAGCTGCAAGGGTAAAAAGACTTCTGTTTGCAAAGGACCGGCTGAAAATGTGCCTGCAATCCACTTGACACCCGTTCATATTCTCTGCTTGTCATTGTCCAAATGCTTCAATGCCAATTCATTTCTATTTGGTCCTGGCGTGAACTGTCTTGCCATGAAGTATCTGTGTCTGACATTAATTCCGGGTCTGTGCACTAGCGCAACAACGCTCTCTAAGCTTGCCTGTGAGTTAAATCGTGACCCATAGCTGGATGGGATTGCCCTAGGTTCCACACTTCATTCAATCTACTACTTTGACCAACCGAGGAAGGACTCTTCGCAATAGCACAACAAATATTATACTATATACATTGATTGTACTGTACCAGTATTGTCCGGTATGAGCAGCTGCGGGCAACTGCGTCGACAAAATATGCATCAAATTGACACCTGACCTGTTCATGTTTCGGGGTCTCTCTTTCTCTCTCTCTCTCTCTGCCTCTGCGACTTTTCTTTGAGAAGCCTTAAATCCTCTCTCAAATGGGAAGAGGCACAGCTTAATGTCGAGTCCTAAACAATCAAGTGGGAGAGAATAATTAACTTTGATCATGTTGAACTGAGGAGAAATGACACGAGTGAATTGAAGGCTCCATGGCAAACCTCGAATACATGTGTGATCATGTATGTCACGTGCCTCCAAATGCTCCACATTTTAAGCAGCGACCTCTCAATGGCCCAAGCCGTGAAACGTAGGTCGATTCAGAAATGCAGAATCTGCGCTCTTCACATCTTCTGCTTGAAAAATGTCAATTGCGAGCAAAGGCTCGCTGCCGACTTTGGCTGTAGCCAGCCAGGGCCACAGTCGGCAGAGTTTAGATGCCGCGGGTGCAGGGTGCAAAGCCAGAAGAATGCAGGCAAAAATTGAACCCTACACAACAACAAGGCTCTCGTTGCACAGTTGGACTAGCTGCTCGTCGCCGGCCTCTGGAATGACAACCTGACACAGCAAGTGCTGTAATGCGCTGATTCAGTGCTGTAGGTGAAAAAGAACCCTAGAATTGTTTTATCTTGGTTGCTTTGTTAAGTCTGATCCGTCCTGAATCGGACATGATTTCAAGTAATCAATATGATCCATCTCAAAGAATCCAAATTTTTAAATGATGCCTGGAGGATGCAGGCAATCTAGCAGATCCTGGCCTGGCGGAACCAAGTGTATCGAAGAATCACGCAGCAACAGGCTTTAGGGCTTGGCTTCATGAACACAACAGGGTCGAAGAGAAGGAAAGCACAACAAAATGTGAACTAAAGAAGGTTGTTGTTCCTTCCATGTTAAACGTGCTTTTTTTGGGGCAGGTCATAGCAAAAGGACAGCTAGAGTCAGTAGAGCGCTACTAGGCGCGAGGACGCAAAGCCCTCGCGTGATTGATTTCGTTCCTAGATTTTCTGGGAAACTCGTCTAGTGCTGATTTGAACTAGAACATATGCATGCGAGAACCTATGCGAGACCTACTGTTGTGCCACATCTTATTGTGCGTGCTTAACTACATGAGCACATGCACTTTGATTCAGATTGTCAAGTGCTGGCGCGGAAGGAATGCAGACAGACTTGCTCTGCTCTCCATAGTCTACATCTTCTCACATGCGCGGTACCAGCACACCAGTCTATATACGCCTCTCAAGATTTCGAGGAGATTGCGGCTTCTGCACCTGAGATGTAAAGCTTTCGAAATCTCTTGAGCAAAGAAACCTGGTAGGATCTTTCGAAGACGCTTTTGCAGTGCATTGGTGGGATCTTTCTCTTTGAACACCTACAATACTTGCGAGTGGAGACCACGCTAAGAACAAATTACCTGATGCCACAGGGGTACAAGTACATAGTTGATTTGGAAGTCATGCCTTTATCATCTTTTATCAAACTTTGATCCTCTTAAGCATGCAGCCAGGTGGGTGGCAGTGCGAAGCCTGGCCGAATAATCTTGCTAATACGGTCTTGCTGCTTGCTCAAATGTTCACTTGAGCTAAACAGTCCTTGACTAGTCTGATTCAGTCTATATAATATAAGTGAGAATTCATGAAATCCCGTTATTGCGCAGTCATTCACAAATTCACAAAATCTAAGCCCGTCACTCGATCAAAGGTGTCCTAGCCGTCTGGTCAGTGGGACAGGTCCTTAGGTTTCGCAATTGCATTGGCTTTCAGGAACGATCTGGTGCCAGGATAAGAGCAAGCAAATACTTCTGCTTTGTACTACCTTACAATGCCATGCATGAGGATCCAGGAGTGCTGAAGCAAGCATGAGGTCCCAAAACTGAGCGCCACCACGTAGACAATGCTGAGGTGAAGCCACGAAAGGGAGATGGACCTTAGCTAGCATGCTGCAATGAATCAAAGAAGAACTGGCACGTCGCACGTCGCTGGCTTTAGCTACCAGTCACTCAATAGATCTCAATACCCGATGTTAATTCATGCATATTCCTGTCAATTTTCCTTGCTTGCAGCATGTGGTTTTTGTCTTTGTAGCAAGTGATTAAGATCAAGTCCATGGGCTTCCTTCTCGGCCTCTTGTGGCGCAAACAAACCACTGTTGACTGTCATCATCGATTCATGTCGATAGAGCGTGTACGACATGGTACAACAAGCTCCTTGCCTGGCCAATGTTTGAGTTTGTCCTCAAGAATTGATAGTGACTAGGTCCCTACACACACACACCTAAGAATTAGAACAAGCAAATCTCATGAACACAGTGGCATCTTCCATGGCCTAGTCTATAGGGTCAGTAAATGTTATACAATAGCTGGTACTTAGCGAATTTCCTGCGAAACCAAAAGTATCCATAAGTCCTGTCTGTGTTTGGGCGCAGGAATCTCCCGCAGGATTCCGGCCTCCCGAAAGCCAAGTCAAGCTTCGAAGCTCTAGTGGCAACGCAGCTAAAAAGACGCAGAAAACAAGATTGAACCTATTGCAAGGATCAGCGATGCTTTCTTTTCTTGCGCATGTTTAAACATTATTGTCTACAAAATCAAAAAGAATTGCCAAAAGTTGCCTTGGGTCACCATTTGGCAGGGCAATGAATGATATGGGTTCCGTGCCTCTTTCTATGCCTCAAGCAGTCTACAACTCGACAAGAGCATGCCACTAAAACTAGCTGGCCAAATGTAGTTCTCAACCATCTCAAACCCTGGACACCCCTGGACCCTATATTGTTCTTTCAACGGCGTGGTACGGCATGGCAGTTGGAACTGGTAACCTAGACTGGTGAGGCGACAGCGACCAAAAACGATCAGGCTCGCTTTAGCTTGTCGTAAGATGTGCTGGGCTGATCTGCACCAGTTTCTCGAAAGTGAGTGATATGCACTCTTGCACCTCTGGTGAGTTGCCATGATCTCTGATGATGCAAGGTGGTTTGAGAAAAACATCGTGCCGATGAGCAGTGATCTGCGTTGGCTGTGGCAATATCATCTGAGCTAATTTACAGGGGTTATTTGATCCGTGCACTGAGGCACTGTGGTTCATTGTCAATGCGGTGATGAGTGGTTACTTGAGGTTGCTAGCTGCTCACAATCTGCACCATAGAGTGAATCATTTGTCTCCGTGTGGTTTGCGAGAATCTACACTGCGGTGCAGTTAGTCTGTGGTAGCGTGACCTATGGGGATTTCGGTGCCAAAGGATTGTGGTTCGGAGAATCCACGTTCACGGTCATGCGTGGCTGCCATGATGAGTGCATTCATGGGAAATCAAAGTGGCTCTTTCAATTCACATTGCACCGGGGCGGAGGACCCTGGACAAAACAAACAATCTTTGGAATGACACTTGAGGTCTTATCATCCTATCGCAGGGGGAGGTCAATTGAACAAAACCTTTGAAAGGGGACTGGGGAAGCGCTGACCCAACATTCCATAATCTCAAAATTTGAGCCCCGCTATTCTGTAAACAACTTCAGCCGAGCTCCTCCTGAGTTGTCAATAAACTCAGTTGCTTGAGACAACACCCACATGAATGGCAAAAACTATATTCATTGGCACAAATAGTCAAAACAGCTATCACTATGTCACCTGTCAGAGGCATTGGAGAATGCCATGATCAGCTACAGTATGGTTTCCTTTCTACGTCCGTCACAGTTTCAAAAGTGTTCTGATGTGTTCTGATTTCGTTTGAGTATGAGTACATAAATATATGCTTCGACGAAGGGCTTGCTTTCATTGTCACAGCTTGTGCAGCTTCTCTGAGTCTACTTCTGACTCAGCCATTTGAGGCTTCCAAACATCTTCAAATAAGCGTCTAGGGAAAACTACCAGACTCCCATAGAATCCTGAGGTCAGGACTGAATCCTTTGATCCCTCGACGGGAGGCTCAACTCCAGACCCTCCTGCTTTTGCTTCCGGAGTGTTGTTGGCAAGGAAGCAAAAAAACAAAGGCATTTCAAAGCCACGGCAGACCACTCTCTTCAAAACCATTGGACTGTCAGCTCTTCATGGCAGGGTATAACGGCCAAACTTTTCTACAAATATTTCACCGCCCCAGGAGCCGAGACACTTGAAATGTCTGATGGCGACTCCCACAGAAACCCTAAGCCCTAAGGTTTTGTTGCCTTGAGCAGCTTGAAGATTGTATCCAGTCCCTTCGCAAGGGGTTAATGCATGCATATCTCAAGCAGGAAGCAGGGAGAGTACTTTTATTTCTCCAATGGTGAGCTTTCGTGAGTCAATTCAATTGCATGTTCGTTCATTGCTGATTTGAATGCACGTGTGGGCTTAAGTGACTCATGTCCACCTACGACGAACCCATATACCCTGAATAAATGAATAAAACAAATCCAATTTTACCATTGGATGCCTTGCTAATCCAAATTTCAATCCACGTATATTGTTCCCAAAAAAACAATGCAAATACTTTACTAACCATACTAAAACTGTTTCTTAGATTATTTGAGGGGAGGGGGCCCTATCTATCAGTCAGAGGTGGACATTTACGCACAAAACAGGCCTAGGTCACCTCCGCAACTGCATGGTACTGCAACACGCTCATTAATTTTGTCACTATGACTAGTCATCAAGGGATGTTTCTGGAGCCTGTGTGTCAGGGAAAACTGCCCAGGTGGTGTCACCAAGGTGCGGACAGGTGTTGGACGGTTGCAGGCGAGTGTTGCATGGCGTGCTGGTCATTGGTGTTCGGTTTGTTTCATGCCAACGCGATTCCGTTGGGGCATGGAAGTCAAGGTTGCGAGCTGCATTGGCAGGCCTGCACAAATTCAGCACGAGGTAATGTAGCGACTTGAGAGGATAAACATATTCTCAGAGAGAAGTATCTCGAGAGAAGTCGTCATGTGGAGTGAAATATGGAACAGTCGTATAGAGTCGATAAAAGGAGGGCTCAAGGGATTCCTGGAGGCGCGCAAAGTTGTATACAACATTGCACTTTACTTCTTTTCCCTTCGTTGCATCACAACTCACCACAAATATTTGACTGAAACACGTCACAAACTACCACGCATCACCAGATTGCAGTTCAACAGGCTTCATCACAGCACAACAAAGCACACTTCACCAGACCACATCAAACATCGCCACTTGACCCTTGACCACATCACAAATGGCACCTTTACACTTCAACCCTCATTGGTCTGCAAAGATGTTTCTCAGGCCCGGGAGTCCGCTCACAAGGAGTTCAGTTCCAATGTTTCAGCCATGGCCCTGTGGTTAGAGCCGGATTTGGAAACTATATACTGTAATCGGTCGGATTCTGAAACTGGTGTTCTAGAATTACGATTCTGAAACTAAGGTTTTGAAACTGGTATTCTGAATCAGGAAAGTCAAATTCCGCAACTGGGGTTCTGAAGCTAAACTGGAGAGTCGGACTCTGCAACTGGTGTTCTCAAACAGAGATTGCAAGTTGCGGCATCCAAACTGCAGAATCCCATGCAGTGGCGGAAATCCAGTTGCAGCATCCAGGCTCGCGGCTTAGCTTGCTGTCGCGTGGATGATGGTGAAGTCCGACTCCGCAACTATTTGTTCGGATTCCGCCACTGGGATTCCACAACTAGGATTCCGCAACTGAGAATCTGCAAAGCAAAAGCAAAAACAGGGGCGGGGACAATTGCGAGTGTTTGAATTGCAAACCAGGCCACACTTGTCCAAGTTCCAGCAGGAACCTCAGGCCCGAAGCCTCTTCCTAACCTTCTTTGCAAGCTTCTGTGCCTTTTCATCATCAACCTGCGTTCTGGCGAGTCTTTATCCATGGCTCTGAGTTCACATGCGGTGCGTTGTTGTCTGTCCAAGTGTCATTTGTCACGACTTTTGCCGTGATTGAGGCGTGGTGCCTTAATGAAGTCGCGGCGCCGCCTTAGGTCCATCGCTGTGACTGTCCGCTCCGTGCGTCTCCAAACGGCGCCAGCCGTATAGATGCCTCTTGGGCCATTCCTATTGAAGAATCCTCTGTTGTCTTTCTCAAGGCCTTCTCCTGACTGGAGCAGCTTGCATAGTTCAATTCCCTTTGTGCAGTTACCATCCTCACTCACATTGTGTTCTCTGCCAGGACCCCTCTGTCCCTTAAAGTTTGGTGGGCAGTGCGGGCGCTCGTCCTTTTCTTGACGATGCAACTGCGCGCTGCTGCATGTTGGCCCTGCGGGGCTGCAGCCGCAGTTGTTGCTCTTCCCAAAAGAAAGCAACAAGCCGCACAAAAAACCATCGCCCCAGCTGTGCGACGCAAAGAGCTTGCCAATGCGAAATAGCAGCGGCAAGGTCAGCTTCCAGTGGCAAGATCATCTTCCAGAAGGACCCCAAAAACGGACGGCCTAATTCAGCACCAGTAGGGTCGGTCCATGACATGAAGGTGGATGGCATTTCTGGAAGGCAACTTCAACTCAAGATTCCGGGAAATCCCAAAGAGAAGACAGTGAAAGCTTGGAAACTGCAAATGTCACGCCACGCACACTGGCCAGCGCAAAGTGTCGCCGCTGTCTTCGTTGGTTCACTACCGCCATTCGGCAAGAGACTGGAGGAAGCCTACGAACTGCTTCAATGAGGGACGCTATGGCATCCCAACCCAGCGTAGCAGGCAGGCACTGTTTCCGAATATTTGCAGCCGGCCTCAGTGCTTCCATGAACCGCTGTGCTCAGCAACCAACCCCGCAGAAGTCACCCGTTCAATGGCCGCGCCCTCCCTTGATCTTCCAGGCATCTTACACAGGAATAAGCTGGAGAGGCTGCAAGGCTTAACTAAAGTCCCTCAGTACAGGACTCACCAGAATATGGACTGTCCGCGCACTTGGGCTTGGCCTGTCGCCAAGGCATTCCAAATAGCACAAGCAGAAAACGAACAAGGCCAAACAAACGAGTGTTAGGTGGCAAGCCACCAAACAAGCATCTTGAGCCAAAAGGCAGGCGTCAGGTAGCCACCCATCTGACTCAACTATATAATTGTTACATGCGCATTACATTACATGTTTCTTTCGACACTTCACCGCTTCACACTTGGCTGCACTACAATTACAAGTCACCACTTTGCACAAAATCTCTCATGACATGACAAACCAGCGCGTCACAAAAATCCGCACAGGATGGTACGTACCACACCACTTCACCACATCACAAACTACTGCGCATGACATGACTACACTGCGCCTCACCATACCACAGCCTCTCTACACTTCGCTATGACATAGACTTATAGGACTTATAGACATCTAAGACTCGGGGCGTCAAAGCGGCAGCAGGAGAGTCTCATGCTTTGGGGATTCAGCATTCTTGTCGGTCTGCCTGCGGCAGCCTTTGCAAACTCGCGCAAAACATCGGTGTGAGTTGAGAACAAAGGCATACAGTTTGATAGCGTAAAAGCAAGAAAAAAAGGACGTGAATCTGGAATTTGACATTTGGGCACGTATGTTTTTCACACACGATTGGGATTGTCATGCTGGACTTGAGCATTTGAGCTTTAGTTTAAATGACGGACTTGTCTAGGGGACACTGATGCTCACACTAAAGCTGCCCTTTGCATCAGGCTAGCCACAAAGCTCACTCCTGACTTTACAGTGCCGAGTTGCGAACAAAAGGGGGTTCATTTGTGGGTCTGGATGGGGGGTTCTCCGGGGACTTTAGCATCATCGGGGACATTGGGGACTTCAGCGTCACAAACATTGTCATCGATCACAACATTGTTATCGATCACAGCATTGTCATGACCACAACATTGTCATCGATGAGTCGTGTGACTTACACTGTAAAAAGCACAACATCATTTTTCACTGGTGCCAGCAGTATTTTTGAAGGTTTTTCAGCATGAAATGCGATATGCAAAAAGCATGAAACCACACCTTGACTGGGGAGATGACAAAACACCTTGTCCAAATCTGGCATTACTCTGTTCATATTCGACTTCTTCGCGCGGATTTTTTCCAAAAAATCCGTTTGTCTTAGCACTTTTTCAATGCATCAAAGCAAGCGCGCTTTTTCAGAAACACAGGCAGGCTCCGCGTGTTCGACTCGTCTGACGTTTGCTTGTGTTGTTTTCGCCCGGAGAACCCCCCGTCTGCAGCCTCATTTGTTTCACTTTCATTTTGTCATTGTTTTCCGTTCTTCCAGTATTGATTCTCATACCCTCTGCAGGGTCAGGGAATGAATATCAAATATGGGCTGCAGGTTTCTTAAAATGAGCCAACCAACTTGTTTTTGCTCATGGCGACATTAAGAACCCCATCGAGTTTTATCGTTTTTACGTTTGGCAACCTCCGTGGGTTGCCGCAGCAGAGCAAACATCTACAGGCACGGGTGATCACATATGTCAGCACATTGCTGCTACCTTGCGCATCTTGTCTCATATAGGATCTACATCTTGAGTTTTCGGAAAACTATTTAACAACCACAATCGGCCTTTTGAAGCACCCTGTCGTCAGGCCTGGGAATGCCACGCGGCTGAGAAGGAAGAGAAGACTTTAATCTTGGCGTAGAACGTTCGAGTGCGACGGCACAGGCTTACGAGCGCTTCATATCCCTCCGTTGAACACATTCTACCAGACATCCTTGCATGGAAACGACTTGCCTCAGCCATCTGCGACTTTGTGGCTCGTGGCAGGGAAACAGGCAGTAGCCGTTCGCTTTTTACCTCTGAAACTGTTGAAGCCCGGCTGCTCGGCGCCTGTTCTCTAGTTCTTTTGCAAAAAAGGACAGTTCATTTCTGGATCGGTTTTGATGCCTTTTTTTTGAAGTGCCGCGGTTCTATCCAGACATAGTTCGTTAGAACAACTTAGATCAGAACAATTGAGTGGTCTACACCAGAATCACAAAAAATAAATCACGATAGTGCTGGGCACAACAACATACAAGGTACTTGTTTTCAAATTTGGTAAAAACTTGAAACAAACACGGAAGCAAGGATGTTCGGTAAAGTTGCCTTTCAAGGTTGTCACTACTATTCTGCACGGGTCTGATTGGATTTTTCGACATCTTACAACCTTGTACTTGTACGGCTTGAATGCATTGAAAAGGAAGTCCTGACTGGCTCTCATTAGTGATGTGCACCGCGCACGGTTGTTGGAATCCCCTTGAGTAAGGTAACTGACTACTGGTGGAAGGTGCGGAAGAGATTAGACAAAGCGGACTGCCGAGTCAGCTTGCGCAGAGCGCGTGTTTGCGCAGTGACGGTGCAAAGGCATGGCCGAAGCGTGCACAGGAGCGTCGTTGCAAACACGCATCGGTTGTTCATGCCAAGATGAACCTTTCGAAGCGCTTGCGTAGGCCCAAGAGAGGTAGAGGTACAAGGGCGCGCAGTCGTTGGACAGAACGGGGGAAGCATAGTTTTCTGCGAGGGACTTGGCCAAAGGCCTAGGCATTCTGCAGTGTGTCGAAGCCTCTTGGCAAATGTAAGTTCCCGGTTGGTAAAAATGCCTCATGTGTCATGGTTTGACAGGTTACATGCGGTGATCTTACCCCCCAATATCCCTAGATGGGAAGAAGAACTAATGAATCGAGCCAAACAAGACAAAAACGAACTGATAGCACAGCTTTGAGACCAAAGCAGTGAAGACCGTGAAGGTCTAGCATAGCCGTGAAAGCCGTTTTAATCTATGCCGCGGCCGTGAAAACAAGGTCTGTCCTTGATGTCCGGAAAGCTAGGTCGGGACGGCTATGCCCTTCCAAAGGGTGGTCAGAGGAACTACTAGCAACTGAAGAACTCGCACTGTTTAGTAAACGCAGTGTTCTGCTTCCGACACCCCACGCATGCACATGCGCTGAAAACCACTTGGCTAGGCCCACTCTCAAACACCGCGAGCCCCCGATCGGATAAGCATCTCAGAGCTAAAAACCCAAGCCGGGCACAGGTGTGTGAAGCTCGTGTGATGCATTGTTCCCACAGTAATATAGATTGAAGTGGCCAGATCTTGTCCTTCCAATTGGCCGTTTCCTTCCAGGGCCATTCTGCGAAGCAAGTTTTTCAAAATTACTTCTAGGGTGATGCAACCCTAAATCTAATTTGCCCTGCGTCTGTTGCATCATCAACTCGCCAAAAGTTGCCCACACCAAAAAGTAAAAACACCTTTCAGCAGGCTGACATGATTTGACCACACAGAATCGCATCTGCCCCCTGGACTCCCCAAGCTCACTTTGTTCGCAGAAACTAACTTAAGCCTAGCCTATCGGCTGGCTTTCGTAACAATATGTTCCCAAAACTTTGACGACGAAGCGAAACTGCCAACTGAACGTGTGCAAGTTCTACATGTATATTTGCACCAACAAAACAACGTCGCCAACGGCGATTTTGGGAGAGCTGTCGGCAGACTGTCTCGCAAAGCGACCCGCTAAAAGACAATGGCGTCGCAGGATAGAAAGGCGGAGCAGCCCACCGTATTTTTACTGTATAGTCGCTCTGAGTACGGATTTTCGAAAACGCTTGAAGAAACAGATTATACCAGCATAGACCCCAAACAGTTTCGAAACGATTCGTTTAGACCAGTATTAGTCAAACATAGATTTCTTGGTACTCCGTACCGTGACCCCAAGAGCAAACTGTTTCATCAAAGAATTTTTGTCGGCATTGGCGTCGCTATTTGTTCGGCCACACTCCTCTTCAGCCGGGCCACAGACACCAGCCAGAGAGTTCAGGGGCGCGGCCAAGACAAGAACAAGAGGAGGACAAGACCCGGACAAGAGGAGGACAAGGCCCAGCCATAGAGCCCAGCCACAGAGGACAAAGGAGGACAAGGCCTGGACACAGAGCCCAGCCACAGAGCCCAGCCAGAGAGTTCCGGCCAAGAGGAGGACAAGGCCCAGCCACAGAGGAGAAGAGGAGGACAAGGCCTGGACACAGCAGAGGACAAGTGCAGAGCCACAAAGGACAAGAGGAGGACAAGGGCTGGACACAGAGCCGAGCCACAAGCACAAGAGGAGGACAAGGCCTGGACACAGAGCCCAGCCACAGAGGAGGACAAGGGAGGACAAGGCCTGGGCACAGAGCCCAGCCACAGAGTTCAGGGGCGCGGCCAGTGAGTGTGGCCATCCTTTTTTTGTAAGATAGAACCCCAACAGTAAACTGCCTGGGGAAGAACATGAAATTACACCAGCGTAGACCCCAAACAGCGTCAGCATTTTTGTCGGCGTCGGCGTCAACTCCGAAAATTCCAATGTTGGTGGAAACGAATGCAAGTATACTTTTCTAAAGCCTCCAGCTGTTTGGGAACTGCACCTAAACAATAAGTGTTTGAAAACACCAGTTGCGGCAGGTATCCTGATGCCTGTGTCACATGCGCAGTCCGATGGGATACCGGATATATGTCGTGAGAAGATCCGAGGAGGACAAGAAAAGGACAAAACAAAGGACGCAGGGTTGGCCAGCGCAGCCAGACGACTAGAACAGGACAAAAGGAGAGGAGGACAGGAGGACGACACGAAGAGGAGGACAAGAAAAGGACAAGAGGAGGACAAGAGAAGGACAAGAGGAGGAGAAGAGAAGACGGACAAGAGGACCAGCGCGGCCAGGGGACAGTTCAGGGGCGCGGCCAGCGAGTGTGCCCAGCTCCTGTTTTCCCAAGACACAACCCAAACAGTAAACTGTTTGGGGAACAATTCCAAGCCACTACTATCCACTATATACTCCTCTTCTTTATAGGGTAGCTTGATAGTCCTTCAGTCTTTAAGGCTGGGACGCGCTCCCAAGCGCTGCAAAACACACTCCCGGCAAGGCTCACAGGGCGCACCTGGAGCGCGCCCAAAAACGAATTAAAGAGTGCGCTCGCCAGACTAGACGAGAACACCGTTCTTCAAATTGCGCTGCCAGCGCGTTCCAGAGCGCATCTGTAACGCGCCCTCCGAACACCTGCCGAGCGCGCTGCCAGCAGCTAAACAAAGCGCGCCGGAGCGCGCGTCCTTAACTAAGCACACTCCCCGAGCGCGCCTGGAGCGCGCTGGCGCGCACCCAAAAATGTTTGAGACGCTTGCGGCAAAATTGGATGGGCAAGGGAGCACGCGCAACGTGAAGCAAGCGCTCGAAAGCACGCTCCCCAAGGGCGCGCTGAGAGCGCTGACCGGACGTTCCAGAGTCCGCCCTGCAACGCCCAGACGAGGGCAAGAGAAGGACAAAAGGCAACCAGAGGACAAGAACAGGACAAGAGGAGGAGGAGAGGAGGACGGGCGCGGCCAGCCAGTCGAAAAATTACTCGGAACTATTCCTGAAATGTGCTCCCAAGCCCAGCATGTCTACAGCGCGCGCCCAAAATCTAACTGAAGATGACACCCCTCTCGCCAACAGAAGCCTTCAAACAATTTAGGGGGATCACAGGTATAGCTTTGGACTGGAACACCTTTCACCAGAGCGAGCTGCCAACGCCTTCCCGACAGAGCGCGCCCTGGAGCGCGCCTTTCCGGAGCGCGTGCGGAGCGCGCGTGGGGCGCGCTGCCATCATCGCGCTTTATAACTGTTCCTGGAGCGCGCCCAAAACTCTCTCCAAGCGCCTTCAAGAAGCAACCTTTAAGGAATTGCGCGCTAATTGAAGAGAGGGCTCCAAACTTCAGAGCGCGCTGCCTGCGCGTTCCATGCAAACACCTGCCGAGCGCGCCCGCAGCGTGCTGCCAGCGCATATACAGAGCGCGCCGGAGCAAGCGCCCTTGAGCAAGCGCACTCCCCAAGCGCGCCTGGAGCGCACTGGCGCACACCCAAAAATGCTTGAGAAGCTTGCTCCGAATGCAGGACAACCCATGGCCTTCGAAGAAGCCCTTCCATTGTCAGTCGGGCGCGGTCCAGGCAAGCTTCAGGCGGACAAGAGAAGGACAAGAGGAGGACAAGAGAGGAGGACAACAGCAAGGCAAGGACAGGCTTATTGGTCAGCGCGGCCAGAGAGCCTAGCCAGAGTTCAGGGGCGCGGACACGACAAGGGCAAGACCCGGACACAGAGCCGGGCGACAGAGTTTCAGGGCGCAGACAAGACAAGGACAAGAGGAGGACAACAGTAAACCGTTTGGGGGAACAAGGCCGGGCCACAGAGCCCAGGGCCAGAGTTCAGGGGGAGGCACAGAGCCGGGCCACGAGCCCAAATTTGAGGTAGGACAATGCCTGGACACAGAGCCGAGCCACACAGGAGGACAAGGCCTGGACACACCACAGAGGAGGACAAGGGAGGACAAGGCCTGCAGCCACAGAGTTCAGGGGCGCGGCCAGTGAGTGTGGCCAGCTCTAAGATAGAACCGCAACAGTAAACTGTTTGGGGAAAAACAGCATGAAGGACTTAGCCAAGACATGACCAATGACAAAAACCACAGGGTTCCTAACAACACGGCACTCGTGCTTTTCCCAGCCCATTGTTATTGCTACAGTATTTGGTCGTTAGGCTCTATATTTAGTCATCGCATCATTGGCATGGTCACAGAATGGCAGAATGCATCCGTTGCCAACAAACAAAGTCAGCAAGCTCCTTGAAACCTTGGTGCGCAGCGACCAAATGGAGACACTCATGGTACACACGCGCGTCGAAGTCACCAACCTGTCAGCAAATTAGCTTGCGTCGGCGACATTGAGATAACATGGACAAATCATGCTTCCAAATACATTACAGTATATACATTATGGTCACTACACCGAGCCGCAGAAGTGCAATCCCAGAACCCGTGCCAGTTCCACATGAGACGCCGTGCATTCAGGAAGTCAGTTAATGAGCAATGCAAGACCCTGGACACACTGATTAAAAACTAGACGACGAGTGGCCCGAAAGCATTTTTCATCACGTAGGAAGTCAGAGCGCGAGTTATCTGTTGAGTGTGCAGTGTGAAGTGTTAAGTCGAGTGAGTTGAGGTAGTGTTTGGGTCTCTGTGTGTGTATCTATGTCCGTGTGTATATGAGTCTCTGTCTGTGTGTGTGTGTCCGAGTAAGTTGAGGCAGTGCGTGGGTCTCTGTGTGTGATGTGTGTGTGTGTATGAGTCCCTGTCTATGTCCATGTCTGCTGCTGGTGAAGGTCTTCACTGTACATACAGTGAACGAATTAGCGCGCGCCTCCCAAACCCCCCGCCGGCGGCCAAGCGGTGACAGCCCAGCTCATCGTCGTGATCATTTGGGCTGCTGGTATGGGGAGAAGCAGCGTGCACGCCTCCAGGAAATCTCATTGAAAAAAGCAAGTTGGAAGGAAGCGTACTAAAGTTGTACTACAAAGTCGCCAGTTCTCATCTTCCAGCTCCACAGATTGCTCCGCGTACTAAAGTTCTACTGCCAAGTCGCCAGTTCTCATCTTCCAACTCCCCAGATACTCCGCGTACTCAAGTTGCACTACCAAGTCGCCAGTTCTCATCCTCCAGCTCCCCGATACTCCGCGTACTAAAGATGTACCACCAAGTCATTGTACTACCAAGTCACCAGTTCTCATCTTCCCGCTCCACAGATCTCCGCGTACTAAAG